CACAAAATACTCGGTTGTTTCTTAACTGCATTTTGCCTAAGTGTGTCCTAATGGCATGCGGCACTACTTTTTTAGAATTCAGTGTGAACAAATCATCGGGATGGGCTTGTTTGAAGATATGCACATTTTTTTGGTGATCCTTTAATTTAGAATACACATTAGACAACTAAAGTAAGGCCAGCAGAACACAGATAATAAACTGGACTTTACGGATAGAATATAGAGCGTTAAAATTGTAAATAAAAGTTTTCTTTGTTCCAGATTTCGCTCGAATTGCACAATGTGATCGATAATGATAGCATGATAACACGTTGAGAAATTATTTAAATTCGAGATCGGTTTGAGTTTTACAGATATACGAGCAGACAAATCGATCAAATTGGAATCACACAATAATAATAACTGTCACAAAGGAAAAGCGTTGTATTTCAGATAAGGCTTTCCTTCCATTACAAAAATTTTGGAGTATTTATGTCGGACAAAATATCAACCTCATTATTTTCAAAATAGAGGATCTTACCTCACAATCGAACGCCGAAAATCATTTAAGTCGACAATCATGAGTAGTGCTTGATCTTGACTGAGTTAAAAACAAACTAGACCTAAACGAAAACTGGTTTCTTAACTTAATCAATATTAATGATGCTAATGACGTAGACCGTCATGAGTCCCAAAATAGTTTGCAATTAATTTCCGTTTTTTGTTTTGTTTTGTTTCTTTTGTTTTGTTTTGTTTTGTTTCTTTTTTTCGTCGCTTTGTTTATTTGTTTGACTATTTGTTTCTATCGGGATATTCTGAATTTAAATGACATTTAAGCCTTTTTCAGTTTATCTCTGTCTTTACCATGGTCTCATTTCATTCGAATATCTCTAAAGTGTTGTTTTTTTTCAAAAGAGAAGAGCTTTCACTCTGGCCTTTGACTACTGCCCAACCACAATTGAGCAAACTTTTGTTAAATTTCCTGAGCACATGCTTTGTAAATTCAGCCGAAATATACAGCTCGCTTTAAAAGAGTTTGAAAATTGTTGATACATTCTTTCCGATTTCATACTATTTGTATTAACTTTCGCGAAAAAAATAATAAATATTGATTTCTACAGATAGAAAATTACGGAATAGGAGGTGCTTGTTTTGGTATTTTTCTTCACTGGAAACTTGTGGTGGTCTTTCTCTATTGAGATCATAAAGAAACAAAGACTTTTAAAGCAGGAGAAGTATTCAAGTGAGGTCCAAGGTTCTCCCCCATGGCAAAATTAATGAAAAGTAACACCATGGGGTCAGCTGAACGTGACTTGAATTTGGAATCTCTAAACATTTACTCGGAGTTCATCTTGATAATGGGCGGCACTATCGATTAGCGTACCAGCCTAAAACACGCAAAGGTGAGGTTGTAAGAACTCGAGAAAAGTTTGTAATATAACCGCAAGCTCCTCAACTCTTCTCCCAAGATCACCGGGAAGGACATTACCTCCAGTAAAGCGGTGGAACGTGGGGTCTATTGCTTTTAGAAATAGTTATGGGTTTACCGATACATTACACAATAAGTTTTTGACGAATCACAGGACGCTTGGAATATTAGTTATTTTAGAAGAGGCCTCGAAGAATTACCCTGATGCATGACCGATGCTCATGGATTTCTTTATATATCTCGGAAGATAAAGTGGCGTTTTGGGGAAATTTCATTGAAGTCGAAGGGAACGTCTTCGATATGCCACACACAATTCAGTGGTGTTTTGGAACTAAAACCTTTTGGTATATCCAAAATTGTTTTCAAATTAAGTCATATCGCTCCGTCACCTGAGATATATAAACATTCAACGTCCCTCCGGATCTTTTGTTACAAAGTAATGAATCAATTTACCAAACTTCTGTCCTAAATTTTGTAAGAGATATTTTTACATGAAAGCAACATCAAACATAGATTTTTGTCGAAAATTTCTCAACCAAAGGGTTAGAATTTGTTCGTACATTTCAAGGACGGGAAGTATTGTCCGCGAAAGAAACTACTATTAAACGCTTCTACTTATAACAAACAGAACGTAACTGTATGTAACCCATATATCTCGCTGTGTTAATTTACGTCTCACACTATGTAAAAAAGCCGCACGTTCATTATTTTCCGGGCGTCAATTTACTTTTTTGCGTGCAAATAATTGATATGACTTCGAATTCGAAAGAAGCAACTCCACAGTGTCTGATTATTTTGAACCACCTGGGAAATAACTAAACCAAGTCATTCTATATAAGGCTTACCTGAAAGCAGAAAAAACCAAAATTGATATTTTGTAACAAAGAAGAACAGAACAATTCTAAAGTTAGAGAGTTCTGTTTAATTTACATTTTATTTTGTTTGTAACTGCCTTGTAGTCTGGTTCTACTTGGCGCATAAATGCCTTGAGGTCTGTAATAAAAATTTTCACAATTTTTCATCTAAATTTACCTCAGGGCGCAAAAAACTAATTTCAATCTACTCTGCCTTGCTTGTATTAAGTGGTCACGTTGATACCCTGTCTGTCTATAATCAAGAACGGAATATTTCGTACAACCTATATATATTTGTAGGCCGCTTTTTTGCCTCCTAGCTAGCTTGTGTTCGCTTTGACTAAAAGCTTTATCGCAGTGTTAACGGAATTCTGATCAGGAACAATTCCAAGAGGAAGTTGGCAACGAAATTGTCACTATTTAACCATTTGAAAACCATGGCCAGTTTTCTTCCAGTTTTCAGTAGCTTCTTCTGAAAGGGGAAACGCTGTTCGCACAACTCGGGATCTATTCACCGATAATTAGTGCTTTCTCGTCAAAACAAGCAAGATGAAACAGTAGAGAAAGCATCGCTTACCTTCTTCCAAAACGATGTGGCAGAAATTTGACGACGTTGATTAAGCGAATTTTCCAGAATAATGTACCTTCTAAATATTTTTACTTAACACTGGTGAATAAATAAGGACGTAAGCCAAAACTGACGGAAAGATGATGAGGAAAACTTTTGTTGTTCAATATTCATTTCTCCGCTCCATCTCTTGAAGTGTTTTGAAAATTGAATCTCAAACCTTTATGAATTTCAGAATTAAGCTGAGTACTTGCCAGTCAAACAACCCGAATCTTGAGTGCATTCACTTCACACAAAAGATTCGGAACATGATTAGCATTTTATTTAAACGTCAGATGGACAAATCATCGCTAAATCTACCACCGTGACGATGAAATCATGTGCATGACTTTGTTCCTCTAACGGAAAAAAGTGTTCACTAAACTATGGATTAGGAGGAGACTTTTCTGCGGAATGATTTTCTAAATCCAACAAACATATTTTCATACCATTGCTGGACTGCGTTTTAATTTTGTTTCATTTTTTTTTTCTCAAACGCGTTCATTTGTCCACAATTTAAGTGAAATTTAAAATCTTCTCTTTTGTCTAGACACAATAACTAATTTTCCTCAAAAATTTAGTTTCAGCTTACAATATTTACTTTGAGGGGACAAGTTAAACGAAAAAAATAAACATGTTTTACCCCAGGTAAACAATGTAAAAGCAAACAAAATTGTCACGAACGCCTTCGGGCAGCTAACATACAGAGTTGTGCATTCTAAATTCATAGAATTCTAATAAGATTGATTAACTCCTCTTTTTCTTTCAGTTTACAAACACGCTGGTCCTCTTCTCCTATTTTTAAGTATTTCTTTAATTCAACGTCCGGGATCTAGGCTTAAAATTCAGTTCGGAGCTGTATCTAATCGGCGTTTGACGGGGTTTTGTACAAGGTTAAGGTTATTAAATTCTCAAAGTAAACCAAGCATAAGAATAAATAAAAAAAATTTAAATCTACAAGAATTAACAAAATGACAAGAAATTTACTCCACCACGACATTCACCGAGTCCTTCCACAGTTGTCAACACCCTTAATAGCAAGACCTACACACCGTAAAATTGAATTTTTTTTAACTCATAAACAAAACTTGAAAGTAAGAATTCCTTTCACCACAATCCCAGACTCAATCATATTAAACAATGACCTGGGCGGCTTAGCGGATGATACTACTTTTTCTTTTGACGTGGAGGTAGGTTTGGCTTACCACTCTACGAATTATAATTACTGTACGACTTGTTGCCACTAAAGCTATATAATCGAATATAATGTCGTAGGAGTTCGTTGGCCCAAACAGTTTTTGACGTTTCCACTTCTGGTGCACTGGGCTCCTATCACTGGAGATGGCCAATTCTGCTACGATGAATGGCTGGATAGAAATCTTCTAGTGAAGCAAAATCGCGTAAAATGGCGGATCTATAAAGTGGGGGAGATTTGGTAGCGAAGAGGTTAAACTTTGTTAAGAAGCGTGCCTCTGCATAATGAGATAGCTGATGAAACTAGGCCACGTTTTGTCTGGCTTGTGAAACAGACAACCATTTCTAGCTGCGAATTTGAACGCTTATGAGAAGAAGTGTGTGTTTTTCGTGCACTGATTCTGCGTTTGACTAAATGACCCCCCCCCCCTGCTGAAAAACTAATCGATAAGAGACACAGGTATTCGACTTCTTGTTTCACTTCAAACGAGTTTTATTGCCATTTACGACAACTTTAAGCGTAAAGTTTACGTTGACGTAGTTCTTACGTCGGTCTCAGGTAAAAAATCAGATGCTATGCTTAACTGAATTTGGTCACGGATTGATCATATCCAAAAATTCAACTGAGAGAAGTTCTTGGAGTCTGCGGGAGACGAGTCTCTATTTCTAACCATGGTTTTACCTTCTTAGCTTTTTAAGCTTATTTTGTGTTGTTATTTTCAAACAAACTGCTGTTAACGTTGACGGTGTTCTTCTAGCTGATAGAAGTTATACCTGCACAAACGGAACTCAACTCTTGTGATTAAGCCATTCCACTAGCGAGAATAACTTTCCAAATACACCGAATCGAAATATGGCGTCCAATTTGAATTGCTATCGTTCTGGACTTCCTAGCCTCTCACACATGTGATAATCCCTTTGTGTTTCCACGTGAAGACGAGGCTAGTAAGTCCAAAACAATGGTAACTCAAATTGGACGCCATATTTCGATTTGGTGAATTCTCATTACCTATCGGCTTGATAGAGTATTAGAAAAGTAAAGAGATTCTATTGAATAATCGCTCCTGGTGAAAGCTGAAATCAGCTAAATGAGGGTTACTTACGACTGGAGCATTGATAATCCGTTGAATGCTAACAAATGAACAAAAATTCGCCATAATGGTTTCAAAAACTCTATCGTAAATAATTCTATTAGTAACGAAACACCGTAGGACGAGTAGCTGCGACTTCTCTACTACTCGCTTATGAAAACGTTAAGTTAATTCAACTCGTCTTATTGTCTTTATATATAAAAGTCCTATATACATATAGGACTTTTAGTTTTTAGTTATGTAAATACGTTCCATCTGAAGAAGGCCGAAGGCCGAAACGTCGCCACATTAAAGCTGGAACAGTTAGAAGTTTGCTTCATGTTTCATCGTTTTACACTTACTTAAAATTTTCATTGAAGCACCGTATCCTCCGCGGATCCTTCTACTAGGAGCTCATCGTTTGGTTTACCTTTTCATTCTGTTTATATATATATATATACTTATTCGCCGCAAGTACGGCGGCGCTATAAACATGGTTCCTAGCGAAGTGCTTAGCAGTAACATTAACACCTTAGTTATCGCTTATTTTGGACGCTATACATAAATGTTTACATGGTTACCACTCCTCCAAGGAATTTATACAACCGCAGAGCCTGGTGCGAGGTGCGAGGTGCGACGTTCGAGAGAACACACGGTGTGAAATAATCTGGTACCTTACATCAAATATATACACAGTTTCTATTGCATAGGCGGAATGATTTGGCATGTAACAATTTCGTACAGCACAGATGATTTACTATTCAAACTACGTGTATGGAACCTCAGACCAAGTTGGTCCTGGTGAGAGACCTCCTGGCACTAATATCGAGATATCTGTTCCTAGTTTTACAGATCAACTTCACATGGAAATGCATGAACAAAACGGGCAACAACCGCAGCAATACCATTACATTTGAGAAATTTCTGATGTTGAGCGGCTCCGACAAGTCCAAAACAATCTCTTCATTTCCGAGACATCTTCGGCACCTTTGACAAATCTCTCGGAATTCTAATACATCTCGAGCAACCTGAAAATGTCGAAGAATTCAAAGCAATCTCCGGAACACTCTCTTGTCTTGGACCACGATCCATGACTAATCGATAGTAAAGCGTTCAAGGAAATCGCTCTAATTCGTACAGTGTTCAAACAGAGGTCTGATTGAGCAACGCTGCCGATTCCTCGTCTGCCTTGTGCCAAGTTTTCTTCACAGGGTTAGGAGAAGCCTTCATCGAACGTCGCAAAGATTCCGTTCTTTTAAGATTTAGAGAACTGTTAGAACCACGTATATGGCCAGGGGCGTTGAGATAGTTCATAAGCGGTTGACCGTTTGGATGAAGAAGTTTATTTACTTTGTTGCTTGTGCGTTTGACGGCACTTATCAACCAATATGTTTTGCAAGTGCCCTTTCCCTGAAAGACAACAAAGGAAAAAGAAAATACATCAGGGTTAGCACATTCCAACACAGGGCAGCAAGGCAACATGACATGTTAACATGGGTTTCAGACACAGAGGTGAAAGCTCTCGCCTCTCACGGCTGTCGCCTGCGTTCGATTCGCTTGCATGCGGTCACTTGTGCATTACTGCATGAAAAATTAGGCTGAAATTTCCAATTTCCAATTTCCTTGCAATCCTTGAGTTTCCTCGTTACTTTCCGTTAAGCTCCTTCCATTTGAGTTTACCTATCCTAGCGAACTACTATTGATAGTTTTTAATTTTTCGAATAAACGAATTTATCTAAGATGTTAAATTTTATAACGAACCCGTCATTTATCGCCTAATGGGGGAGGTCAGAAGATTTTTTTGGGAGAATTACCTGATTAGAATACTACAAGGCCTTGGGGGGGGGGGGGGGGCGAGAGGATCAGGTAATTGTATTGTGGCACAAACAAAATCCTCCCCCCTCCCCCGCTACTACCTCCCCCCCTACTAGGCGATAGAAAATGACTGGTCCATAAAAAATATCATTACGTAACCTTCTTTGCACTGTGGGTTAATCTTTGTGTTCCACAATTTTCTCTTCCTCCCCTCCCCTCCATAGCAAGACCTACACACCGT